AGAGAGAGGCTACTTCCATCGATAGGATGAGCAAAATTGGAATGAATCACACACACACACACACACACACACACACACACACACACACACACACACGCGCGCGCGTAGTAGTGTACACACACAGACACACACACAGACACACACACACACACACACACACACACACAAGTGTGGCAGTGTATATTTCCATGTTCTAGCGGTAGATTCGTTCCATTTACCCTCTCCCAAAATCGGAACGAATCAGACACACACACTGTTCTAGCGGTCTCAGAGGAGGTCCCACTAGCAAAGAGGAGTGGATTTCCCGCCCGAATCTGTACGTATTTGTGAAGAGGTGCAGAAAATCTCGACCGATCTGCTTCTCTGCATCTCTGCTTAAAACCCACGCAGATTCGGGCACTTAATCCAATCCTCTTTGTTTGTGGGATCTTGCCCCTCGTCATTTCCCACTAGCAAAGAGGAGTGGATTTGCCGCCCGAATCTATATGTATTTGTGAACAGCTGCAGAAAATCTCGATCGATCTGCTTCTCTGCATCTCTACATCTCTGCTTAAAACCCACCCAGATTCAGGCACTTAATCCAATCCTCTTTGCTAGTGGGACCTTGCCCCTCGTCATTTGGACTCTTGCATTCTTCACCACCTTCTCCATTTCCCTATCCTAGAACTTCACACACAAAAAAAAAGAAGAAAAAGGATAACAGGCTGGCATGGCACTTACACAAGTCTGCGAATTCGTGAATGTGTGCGGAGATTGCGCAAAACCTAGAAAGAACACACACACACACACACGCACACGCACACACACACACACACACACACACACACACACAATCAGTTTTATGTCTGTCCGTCTCTCTTCTGTTGTATGTCCTCCCCTTGATTTTTTCTATGCATTTTTTTGTATGCCCAACCGAGCACCCTTAAGTAGTGCCAACGGTCGGTGGTTCCTCATTTGGAGTGCCTACTGCACTCTTATGGGGGCTGCTCGGTTCGGGATGTCTGTATTGCCTGTCGGTGATGACGGATGTTCGTCGGAGTGACTCCCTGGCTCAGTGGGTGGTGGGAACCAACAGTCTGCGGGGTTCAACCATGATGTGAGTAGGTCATGTGCTGCTTTGCTCCGTGTTGGATGTGTGGACGTCCTTGTCTGCGCTTCGCCGTTGCCCTGCTGCCTGTCCCGAATTGCTGTGTTCGCTGCGAGGTGTGGCTGTGTTCGCTTCGCTGGTTCGCTGTCGTGCTGCTCATCCGCTGGTCGTGCCTTCCGTGTTTGCTGCTATTGTGCCCTGTAGGTTGGTTGCCTTGTTGCTGGTGCCTTGTGCTCCTCTCCACGGTTGCCGAGATGCTGGTCCGCTCGCCCTGTCGTCCCTTTCAGTGTGGCTGCCCTGTTTGTGTTGCCTTGCGCTTCACTACATGGTTGTCGCGCTGCATGTCCTGCGTGCCATGTCGTTCCTTGCAGTCGTTTTTGGCGTTGTGCAGCCGTGTTGTCTCTACTGTGTTGCCTGGTGCTCCACAGGGTTGCTGCCCGCTGCTATGTTCCGCTTGGGGACAGTCTGCCTTCAACAAGGGTCAAAGGGTCCATGACCCAAACCATCAAATACGGAGATTCGCAGATTGTCGAGGGTTCAGCCTCCTGATGAATCGGTGCAACTCCGACGAAACAATCTATCATCATCAGTTTTTATTTTATTTTTTTCGGTCTTTGTTTCTTGCCTTGTGCTGTTTGTCTGCCCACCCTCCTCTCTACTGTATTGCCTGGTGCTCCACAGTGTTGCTGCCCGCTGCTATGTTCCGCTTGGGGACAGTCTGCCTTCAACAAGGGTCAAAGAGTTCATGACCCAAACCATCAAATACGGAGATTCCGCAGATTGTCAAGGGTTTAGCCTCCTGATGAATTGGTGCAACTCCGACGAAACAATCTATCATCACCAGTTTTTATTTTATTTTTTTCGGTCTTTGTTTCTTGCCTTGAGCTGTTTGTCTGCCCACCCTCCTCCCCTCTACCTTCCAGCCTGTGCTTTCCTGTTTTCTATTCTTCTGGCCGCTTTGCTGTTTTTCGATACTTGTACTTGTGCCCTCCCGCCTCCCCCATGCGTTTCAGCCTATGTGCTGCCTCACTGCTTGTTTCTCCTCTCATGCCTCCAAGTTCATGTGCCTCCCCCATGCATTTCAACCTATGTGCTGCCTCGCTGTTTGTTCCTCCTCTCGTGCCTCTAAGTTCATGTGCCGTGTTGTGGTTTGTCATCCTATGGTGTTGGTTCCCTGCCCTTTGCTTCGCTGTCCTTTGCCTCTCCCCCTTCCCTCCGTTCGTTTGTCGGGTGTTATTGCGTGTGTTCTGGTCTGTCTGAAAAAGAGGAGGCGCCACCCACCCCCGTCACTTTGTCTTACTGCTTTCGCATATTTGGCTGCTTTCGACTTTACGGCCCTTACCCTCACCACAAATGGACACACAATATGGTTTTACCCTGCCGCGTTGAAAATCACCTCCGTGACTTGCACCTTGCTCACAGTGTGCCGACATTGCTGGCCGGAGCAGCGCGAGTATGACGTGTCGTACTCACGCGACTCATGTGACACACACATGCCCCACAAACACACACACATCATCGCGAAAGCAAACGCTCAGCACCCGTCAAAGCGACGGTACAACCAGTTTATAGCTTCCTTGCATCTGCTACAAGGGGACAACCTGCCTTTTTTTTTTTTACCTTTCTTTGTTTCCAATATATAAGGACACAGGTTAGTAAAAGGCACAATCTTTTTTTTCTCTTTTTTTTTCCTTTCCCCAAAGGCACGATCTCACGACCTCAATCTTCTTTCTCTTCTTTGCCCTCCTTCAAAAGTATGCAGTGACTGTTGCAGTCAATTACCCCAAAATGGCTCAATTTTGCATTGGAGGCACTGGAGCGGTTCCCCACCCACTGCACCGCAAGTCATGAAGTCGCATTAAACCGCTACTGTCTTCACCGGAATAGAACGCCCTCTCATTATCACTGCATGTGGAGTGAAAGTTGTGCCAAATGCAGCTATAATGTCCGGGCGTTCTATTCGGCTGAAGACGGATAGTACAGGACCCCAGCCTTGTGGAGATTTTTTTTTTTTTTTTTTTTTTTTCTTGTGGAGATTTGCTTGTGACCACTCGGGAAATTTCCCGCCTCGGGCCTACTAGACCACAATGCCTGGGCGTTTGGAAAAGCTTGGTGCACAGTGCAGCGCCTCCAAGCCCGAGTGTAATGGTGGTTTCACCGCATCAAACCAGAGTACAGCATCCTTGAAAACATGCGGGTCATGCTATACTTGTCTGGCGTCAGACAAGTATAGCATCCTTGACAACTATACCATTAAACAGCCAGTACACGGCGCCCCATCCTTGCAAGATTTTTCTTCATGGCCTACTCCTAAAATTCCATAGGCTTGGTGCTACCAGATCACAATGGCTGGCAGTGCCAGCCCAAAAAGAAAGAAAAAGTGCGCCGCAGGTGGTTCGGCAAAGCTTGGCGCGCAGTGCAGCGCTGCCAGGCTCGAGTATAGTGGTGGTTTAAAACAAGTATAGCATCCTCGAAAAGGTGTTCTTGTGTCCGGAAGAGAGGCAGGACACGTTCGCTTTCCCTCTATCCTGCCCTCGTTTTCACACGTCGTCCTCTCACCATTGGTGTGCATACGCTCCCTGCTCTGCACTGGCATCTCCCCTGGCTTTTCAGATACACTCCCTGCTCTTCACACAACAGGCCTTTTGTGTTAACCAAACAAAAGTAAAGCAGTGTCAGTTACTATCACACATGGGTCTGAGTCCACTCTGGAATCGTCAATGGCCCAAAGCCTGAGAGAGAGAGAGAGAGAGAGAGAGAGAGAGAGAGAGAGAGAGAGAGAGAGAGAGAGAGAGAGAGAGAGAGAGAGAGAGAGAGAGAGAGTACATGAACACACATGCAGACGGGTAGAGGGATGAGTAATTAGTACAAAGTTACCGTAGGGTGAAGGCCACCTCGTGGTGGATCAACGATAGCAACAACATCTGAATACTTCTTTCCCTGTGGGGTACTGCCGGGATTTGTTCGAGGAGTTTCGTCGTTTATTGTAGTAGGACGTGGTCCTGTCATTTCCTGCTGCATCATCCCGTCCTTCACTGCTGAATCCAATGTCTGCACCCCTGTTTTTTTAACACCACCTTCATTTTCGTGAATGCCCTCCCCTGTCGATTTGCCAATCGGCTCATTATGACTATTTGAGAGCACCACCTCCGGTCCCACGAGATTGGTGCCAAGATACCGAAGCGGGTGATCACCAAGTCCCATCTTGGCATCTCCATCCTGAGTGGTTCCATCGGGACTCAGCTGTCCCAACGCACAGGACGAAGCATCTCTCGGCGCCTGAGGAATGACGACCTCCCTCTGCTGGGTTTTCTCAGCTTCTAAATCTTTTATCCTGCTGGCTCCACACACACTTTTGTCACGAACTGCGTCGTTTATGTCATTGTCCTCCCTAGATTGTGCGAGAATGACAGTCTTAGTCGAACTCTCGTCATCTTTTCGGCGATCATCAATGTCCTCTGTTCCTCCCTGCCTTGGGCTAACAGTGACTGCTGTGACTGCGGCGCCTCGGTCCGCTGAATCGGTGCCAACTGCTGCTATATCTGAAGAGTACCATTGTAATAGCCGGTCCATCACAGCCTCAGCCTGTAGGGAGAAAAAAAAATAAAAATGCCACAATCAGTGTCACACACTCCAATCACAGCTCTTGTGACTACATGAGGGAAATCTGTTCAAAAATTCAAAATACAGATCCGAGTTCGAACCCCAATGGATCCGGCTAGATGAACACGATTTGTGAATACCCTGAACGAAAAGAAAAAGCAAGGGGCCTGTCCAGCCAGCACAGCCTCAGCCTGTATGGGGGGGGGGGGGAGCCACAATCAGTGTCACACACTTCAATCAGCTCTTCTTCTGACTACATAAGGGGAACTGTTGAAATACAGACCTGAGTTCGAACCCACCCACAAGGGACTAGATGAACGAAACTCCTGAATACCCTGGAAAAAAAAGGGAGGAAAGGGGTGGGTCCATCACAGCCTCAGCCTGGGCCAAAAAAATGCCACCGCCAGCATCAGACACTTCAATCAATTACCTCTCGTGACTACACAAGTGAAGCTGCTGAAATACAGACCTGAGTTTGAACCTAGACGGAACTAGATGAACGAAATTCATAAATTACCTCCGAAAAAAAAGGGAAGGAAAGTTACACAGACCGGAAAGAATGGCGCACAGTATCAGAGACAACCAATCACTTCAACAGCTTCAGCCCACAGAGAGAATCTCAAAACACATCATTCTTTTTTTTTTTTTTTTTTCCACCACTAGTACCTCTGCCAGTGTTCAGAAAATAGGGAAAACTTCAAAACTGGCAGTTTTCCCGAACTCCTAAAAAGTTGGGGGGCTGGCCCCAATGACGGCCGCCGTTGATAAATCTCATCGGCGGCCGTCGTTTTGTTTCGGCCTCCTAAAAGATTGCAGGCCCACCCGAGGCTCCCTATTTTCCCAACCCCAACCATCAAAGCTACTAGTGGTTTAAGAAAAAGGATAAACTTATATTAACAACAAAGCCGGAAACCGCGCCTGGCGTTCCTCACAAGAATCGCCGTGCCACGGCTCTGAGCTGAGCGAAACAAACCACATCATCATATCGAACTCCAACTCTTTTAGAAACAATACCCAGCCCATGTGGCTGAATGGTACACCCATATAACTGTTTTTTAAAACAGACCTGAGTACAAACCCTGGTGGAATAAAGTAACTCAAAATAACACACGACTGTTATGATTCTGGTTGTCCATTGTCTGAAGACCAACACTCACTCACATAGACTTCCAGATATGCCCATACATACACAGAAGGAAGGGGAGAGGATAGGAGTATCACACCGCACAGGGAGAGATAAACACAGCGGAAGACTCGACCATGTGATATGACAGGGTACACTAAAAGTGCAATTCACTCCACTCAATCCTCACAACCAGTCATAAAGAAAAGCCGAGTAGATCACATCCAGGAAACAATGAAACGATGATAGTCGAAACCCAGTATCACACTGTTTATTAAACTCAGAGTCTCGAATTGTCAGGATAACCTCACAACTACCGTGTGCTGCTCAGAAGTGAGCAGCGCTTCACTCCCCGACCCTGAGTAACCCCCGTAACAACCCTGAGCCCCTGAAACATCAAGCGCCACCCAAGTACTGCCTCCAAAGGACAGCGCCCCCCTGAAACAGGCCTCTGAGGCCCAGCGCCACTCAGAGGCTGAAGAAGAAGACCAGCGCCACAGTATCTGATGATGACGAAGTGTCGAAAGACTTCCCGGGTGGAAGTCTGCAGCAGCGCCACCACTCCTGACAAGATGACCTCTGAGGAAGAAGCTGCAGCTATGGCTGCAGCGCCACAACCCTGTGACCCCACTCCGGAGGAGGGTCCAGCAGGGCACCAACGTCTCTCACCTCCAGCAGACCTCTGTACAGCCCCTCGTGCTGATAGAGTACAGCGCAGGCCCCAGCTATGGCCTGTGCTCCGAAGGTCTGGCTATGTCTGTCTCCTTCCACGCTGAGCCGTCACCACTTCCGGTTCACGCGTAATACAGCAGCGATGTACTCGGTACCAACTGCCAAAAGCCCTGAACCGAGGTGCCCATTCTATCTATAGTCTAAACTAGCCTAGACTCGACCTAGACCGGACTGACTGACCGACCGGTACCGATTCTGTTTCGGCCTCTAGGGCCTCTCCCAACCCGGCTATAGGCTATAGGACCGTCTATCAGCTTAGGCCTGTAGGGCCTGGCTGTCCTAGGGGTAGCCCGGGTCTGCTATTCGCAGTTAGGATAGCTGTAGGAAATTCAGTTAGTACGGGCCTGTATTTTCCCGAATTTCCCTCACGAATTTTCCTTACAGGCAGGTCACTCGGTTAGCCCTCAGCCAAACAAAATACGAATCTGTACTACCTATAGTACAGCCTCGACAGAGAGAGGCTAGAGGCGACCAGAAAACAGCAAGTCATTGCACAACTGCAAGGAAAATGAGCGATAGTGAACTTCAGAAACCAAGCAGCATCATACACATGAGACCGGATGGTCGTGACCTCGAACCAAAAGCAGATTGCAACACGAGTTCCACCAAATAAGAGCACCGTAAAAGCTCATAAATGACAATGTTGGAATAGTCTCATCATCATCAACAAAGAACCAATGTCGACATCCTATCTGGCGCTCTGCGCCCACACTACAAATGGCAGATCCTA